TTTATTAATAAAATGGTACGTTATAAATTGCATTGTCCCGGCCGATTGAATATTTTGTTGAAGGGCCGTCAAAATTCCCAGCTTTTGGAATTGATTTTCCTCATTCTGCAGAGGCATATGTGAGTTACAATATATCTGGAGTATAAGATCATGTCATCAAAATTAATCCTCATCCGAATTCCTGCCTTTAAGTCGTTGACTGTTAGTCTTAGGGCCGATTAACCTATTTATAGTTTTAAATTAATGAAACACGGAGATACGGCAAGACACAACTAAAAATACTGCTGCTTCAACCATCACGATGAGTTCAGTCCACCATTGCTCCATAATTTAGGCTCGAATACGACTTGTGCGCCTAGTTGTTTATAATGAACTGCATTTGCTGTGTATCTGCCTCGGTCAATCTGTTCAAACCCCCTAGCACTTTGTGATGGCGGGCTGAAGTCAGGGTGGACGTAGACGTGGTGTCTGACCAGGCAAAATTGCTCGTCTGCGCGTACCGTAGACGGCTTGATCCAGAACTCCTCATGAACTGGGCTTCATTGAGGGGGGTCGGATCTCACACATGTGAGAGACCCGTGAGGGCCGCATCGTGGAACCATTGCGACCTGGCTCACGGTCTTGACTAAGACTGAGCTACAGTAGGTGGGCTAACTCATGAAATGTCAACCGAAATTTCGAAATGCGTTCTCGTTTCGAAAAGATTAGTTAAGCAGGGTTGTAAGAATAATCATCGTGCAGGATAATTCTATAATGACCCAGTTACCTCAGGATGTCGGCTTTCGAATTAACTTATTTAATCACTGCATACAAAAAACTATACTCTGCAAAACTGACAACTTAAGTAGCATGTAATTTTTTCATTGATTTTCGATGCCCTTGAAAATTCAATTATATTTCATGGAAAATATGCATAAAATATTCATTATTTTTACTTATTCGGTAGAAAATCACGTCTTCGTCAGATTTTATACTCAAAAGAAGAGTATAATTCGGTTTTAAAAACTTTTTTATTTCCCGAATAATTTTCAACCCGACCCGCTGTTACACTTGCATTCAGGGTTTCAAAACTACAAGCCGTATATTTTCCGTGTACGTAAAACCATGTATTCCTCCACAGTATTAAGAGGAGACCATATGGGATTCACAAAATTTAGCGGCAGCTTTGATTCACACTGTTACCTTTACAAGCCACATTCGTCAATGCAGACACATGACGTTTTACGAACGGCCATGTTACGATATTAAAAAAATTTCACAATTAGAAACTTTTTTTACAGCCGAGTTTTATCCTCTCTTTGAGTATAAAATTGGGGAAAACACTTTTTTGTACCAAATGGGTAAAATAATGCATGTATGCTACTTAAGTAGTCATTTTTTGCAGAGTAAATATGTTGCATACAGTCGGAAATAAGTTCAGTCGAAAGCTGACACCCCGAGGTAACTGGATCATTATAGAATTATGCTGCATCATGATTTGTCTTACAACCCTGCTTAATTAATCTTTTCAAAACGAAAACGCATTTCGAAATTTCGGCTGACATTTCATGAGTTAGCCCACCTACTGTATCTTATCAGTAGTCAGCCTTCCAAGTCATGACACACAGGATATAATGAGAGTTATGAACAAGTCAGAATGATTATAGTTGGCAGTGGACTACTTTGCCCCAATGTTGACCTCTCCTTTTGCGTCCGTGAACCGTCCTAGTCGATCCGATTGGTACTGAGGGTGTACGCTGTGATAGAAGAGACGCGAGGGCCCCCATCTTCGTGTGTTACACAGGACTTGTTTTCGGCAAGTTACGCGCATTCACATGGGCGGCATGTGCATTTTCTCACATTCGACGTGTTACCCATCATACGGACGCTGGGATATTTTATCGCTGCATGAGTGACGTATTGTGTTGTGTTGATTGCTAATTTTCGCTTGAACGATGCATGTATCAGGCGCATGTGTAGTCTAAGCGTGATTGGGCGTGGAGATGTGGTGAGATGCTGGGAGAGGACCTGTTTATGGATGGTGCGCACGTGGTCGAGCAAGCTCGTGCAAAGTTTAAATGTGCTGTGACACTACAAGAAAGGTAAGGCATTGGGACGGGTTTGCAAGTAACTGACCAGGTCAATAAGGAAAGGTACCGTCATGCTAGCTGTTGACTACAAGAGCTAAAGGGTGTGATACTTTTCTGATAGCAGGCTTGCGTTGTCTCAGCTGAACAGTGGCAAAGGATCCAGGACACGAAGACCGTTTACTGCTTTGGTGACTGAGGACATTGCTTATCTCACCGCGGTCTGCATATTGAGAGACTGGTTCAGCCTTGGGAGACGTCTAAGCGCCTTGAATTTCCCTCATCCTCTGCTTCAATGGGTTTCCGCATCCGAAAAAAGCGGCTTTATCGGCGTTGATTTAGCTAGTTGGATAGCTAGCCGAGCCTGTTTGTTTCGGAAATCAAACGCCGGACTTCTCAGTCGTTGTTGTTCAATCAAACTTAGTGTTACATTTGTGCACATTTAAGGACTATTAAGGCAGTGGCGCTGATAGCGCCCCATCTTTGAGTCGATAGTACGGTGAGCGGTCGATTATTTTACTCTTCACATCCTATTTGTCACTAAAATACCCACTTTGTCACGTCTTCTGGTAAGGGCGTAGTCGGACAGTTGCTAGTGACGCGATTGAGGGGGCGTCGACGCTGGGTTCTCACGGTTTGGAGGATGTTACTTGTGTTGGTGAGGCGGAGCTTGCGTTATTTACATGCATGTAGGAGGCCCTTGGCACTGAGGCTACCGATCCCTCTAGGAAGCTTTAAATGTGAGTATGCGAGCTATAAATTTTCCAGAGACAGTGCGCTTGTTCGACCGCAACACTGTCGTCAGGAGTGCGTGCAAGTCTTCGTAGGATTCGCTCCTCATATCGTCGGAGCATTTTACTAGAGGGCATAGGCGCCGACAGTGGCGGATAATTTCTCCACGCAGGGTGGCAATCTCATGTTTATGAGACTATCATTAATGGCCTGTGATAGACAGGACAGTCGTCTTTCGACGTCGGTATTGATGGGGAAAGTGAATTCGAGGTCAGATCGCTCGATCCTTGGACGTTAATGATACAGGAAACAGTAGCCTGCACCCAGTTCCTCCATCTGGCCTTGCTCTAAGAAACCGATTTAAATAAAAGCCACGGTGTTCGCCTTCTAGCGAGTCATTTCCTGGGCGGTCAGAGCTGTCAGTCGATTGGTTGGTTTCTGTGCTGGTTAAAAGCAAACGAACATTCCCTGTAACTAGACTGAGTCGAGTATATGAGCTGTTGTACTTCATGCGGTTTCTAAGTCACTTTTTTGTGTCATTATACTATGATCGGCTTGTCGACGGAGCATTTTTGCAGATTTTTTTCCTAGCCTACTCCTCTGGAAAATGTGGTAAACAGTGGCTCCCTAGATAGGGCTGCTTAGCTGCTCCAGTCGGCTGGCGAATTCCACTATGGGTCACGACTTTGGTGTAGCAATAAGACGACCTAAAGTTACCCGGACCGCATACAGGATTTGATGTTTCACTCTCCGTAGAACGCGTTGGCGACAGCCATCATGGCCATGTCTGCCGTCCCCGTTCGAGGCACTGTTGTGTCAAGGTCATTTACTTTCGCAGTGAGCGGTTCCAGACGCGCTTACCTGCAGCCAATCCACCGACTACAACTCGGAAGCAGGTGTGCCCACAGGGTCGCAACTGCCTACGCGCCACTTGAACAAGTTCCCCCCCCCCACGCGAATGCAACACAAGCCACTTGAACTCTACCCCTCGGGAGCACAGGCGATTGTTGGATGCCAGGGTCGGGCAAGATAGAAGTTGTAGCGTCTAGATAGTGAGTGTTCTCAAGGCACTACAATAATCGCGTCCCACCCCCTTTTCAGAAGAGAAAGGGAAAACGCCAGTACAGTAACTCAGTTGTGATCAGAGCTCCCGACTTGCGGGCGGCTCTGAGTCTAGGCCCGTGTCTTTCCACTCGGATGATTGGGGGGGGGGCGTGAATGTGTGTGCAAGACGACAGTCAGTCATCATCAACTTGGTGACTTAATTGGGTGATTACGGAGTTTGTTGGGAACCTGTGATAGGCTGTCCTAAGAGGCCGCATGCGCATATGTTCCGGCTGCTCGTTAGCTGCGATCACATGATTCTTAGCGCGGCGTGGGTATCAGAGATAGAAGGCTTATATGGGCTTCAGGCGCTACAACGTATCCTCTGTTTGGTGTGGATTGCCAGCGCACAGCCTACGTGTACCTGCTACGACCCTGGCTGTGTCTGATTAATCCGGACTAAATAGTGTAAGGTTGGTTAACTTTCCACGCGTGAAAATTTGTGGCGGTGTGCCATCATCAGTGTTTTTGTAGAGAAAACAGTTTCGACAAAGAGAAGTTTCCCAAGCCAAAAGTCAAGGAGGCAAAATAAGTAAGACAGCCTTTATTGTGGCAGATAGCGTATTTGCGACCCCCAGATGTCGGCATCAGGCAATGTTATACCAAGTCGAGAGCCAGCCGTTGTTAGACACGGCGCGAGGTATCGGTGTACTCCTGAGCCATGTCCGGCCGCGACCAGTTAGTAAAGTACGAAATACTGATCAATCTCACCGTGTCGTCAATTCGAGGACTGAGGCACACAGGTCTGACAGGTTGCTAGTCGACGGGACTTTAGTCGGCCTAGCCAATCGATAACGCGATCCCACGCTAAGACCAAGTCGAGAAAAGCCAATCGAAACGGCCGCGTCAGAACGAACTTGACTGTCAACGCCGCCCAGAGAAGAACAGAGGCAGTGGGTGAAAATCCAGTTAGTTCTAGTCTCCTCTTTACAGTCCCATAAACACCAACTTGAACAAAAGTGAATAAATGCGAGTTTAGGAGATGATTAACAGGTAGAATAACTATAAAAGGTAGTGATTAAACAAAAAATAGACAATGGGTTATCGCGGTAGATCGAAGGCCGGCGTAAAAAAACGACGCGGAAGGTAAATGCACTGTTAATACACTTGAATGATAAGGAGGTCGGGAAAGTGGGCGCAGCGGCCGCTAGGAGTGGTGTGAATGCCAGTGGCATTGAAAGAGATGGGGTCGGAGGCGGTGGGGGAAAGCGGGGTAAGGGAGGGTTGGGAAGGTGGAGGATCCCCGGGTAGGAAGTCAGCACAGTCTTCTCCTTGAGGCAGGTCCGGCGACTCCTCTGCGACAGCAGCCTTGACCCGATCGACACTGAGCACATCCTCCTCGTCACCGCGATGTATCCGACAGGTCTTGGTGTTGCGTGCGAGCACAAGGAACGGCCCTTTGTATGGTGATTCCAGCGGCTGGCGCACATGGTTACACCGAACGAACACATGAGTGCAGTTGTCCAAGGCTTTTTCGACATAAGAATCAGTCGTTAGAGTTCGAGGTGGAACCGGGGAAAGCGAGCGCATAACTTGCCGCAGACTGTGCACAAAATTGTCAAGAGTCTCATCTGCACAACCAGAGGTTGGGGCAGCCATCTTTCCTGGCAGTCGGAGGGTAATGCCGACTCAGTCCATCTCAGAGCTGAGAATCAGGCAGCATTCGTCCCTCATAATGTGTCCTTTATGCCACTGTCATTCACATGAGATTCGTGAAGCCCACCCCGCGGAAGTTTGGTGCATATTGTTGGGACCAGGTGGTGTGCGGCACACGTAGGCGGGTTGCTTAGCTTTGGCAGCCATTACGTCCGAGGCTACATCTGGTTGTCCTGACATCGTCTTGCCATCGACTCAAAGTGGGTGAGGGAGGAAGGAGTGCGGTAGATGTTGCGCAAGAATGCCTCACTATACGGTAGTCCACGCGTAAGTCACCGTTGCTGTGTCCACCCCGTGGTGCATGCGGTTGTCATTGGCGCTTACGACGGTTGAGCCGTCGGAGTTCGTTTATCGTTGTAGTGTCACGCATTGTGTAGTGAAGGGGAAATTCGAACGAATCTGGAGTGATCATATCGCCGTAAGGTTGGTCTTCGCTCTTCCCCAATCACTCCCGTATTCCCGAGTCAAATGCCACAAATATGTTTAGACGTGACTGTTGGTTTAAGTGCGTTTCTCTTGCGTCGTGGTGTTGATTTGCGAGCTGTTTGTTGGGAAAAAGAACACATAAATATGGCAAAACCGATTTGCTTACTTATTTAACCGGAAACAACGCTTGACATACAGCTTTATGTAAATGCGGCGGTTATATGACCGATTAACGGCGAACTCGAAATTCCAAGAGTGCAGCATTATTTTAACATTTCTGCATTTCACATCGGCATGTCCTATGTTGAGGTAGCTCAGAAGCTAAGTGTGCATAGTTAGGCCGGTAGTTTCGAGTCTCTTACCTCGCGAACTGGCGGGACAGTATGCTTGTTTGCGACCTGAGTTTTCTAAAGCATATAAAAAGCCGTATTGAAAAACCCAAAGAGATGGTACGGAATATTTAGTGCTCAGAGATGAACACTGCATCAGAACTGATGGGGTCTGGTGGATTACGGGGAGTTCCAGGACATCTTGTTAGACAGGGATGCCTGGATTCTTCTGGAATGTACTACTTGTGTTTACTAATTTGGTATCTTGCCGTAACCAAGATAACGCACATATATACATGCTTTTACATTTCCCCGGGTTACTGCACCTTTACGGAATTCAGCCAAACTTCGATCGTTCATCGTGTTGCGCGTCATATTGCGGCTGAAATAATACTATTATTTTTTAGTGTTCAACATTTCCTGTTCTAACAGTGAGGCTTCAGAACAGCCGTACTTAGAACTCAACATGTTTAATACAGTACATACGCCCTCCTGTTTTTAGTTGCTTATAAGGTTATATAGGGCCAGGATGATGTGTGTCCAAGGTGTTTCAATGCCTTGTGTAAACAGTTCAGGTTATGGCATTACCGATAAAGATAAGAGAGACTGGAATGGTCATTTCTGGCTTATTAGCTCTCGTCAGTCAGTCATACCCAACCCCGAAGTGTGGAACACCCGAGGCTCGAACTCGCAACCAGTTAGTTAGAAGTCTACGCCTCTAACCACTGGGCCACGAGCCCGTTGCCGTGTCGGTTTTCAGGTTATTTCAAATTCCATCAACAGAAAACTCAAAAAACTTTGAGGAACTTTGGGGAAAGTCTCCGAAAATTACCTTAGAGTAAATCCTTTAAGACCGAGGCATAAATGCTTCCCTACTGCTTCCTTCAACATGGCTCTAGTTGTTTAGGCTTCGACCCACTTGTTCGTTTGTTCTTGAAAAGTGCCACATACCGAGCACATATGTAGAACATCCACATTTGAAGGAACTGCATAATTTGACTTTCTGACTCTCAGCAAACGAACATGTATTTTCATACTTCCTTACGACTAGCTCTGGCACGGAGAAGTTCAGCAGCCAACATTGGAAATTTGGCTGTAGGATAGTGCGTAGTTTTGTCTATACCGGTTTATCTGAAAAAATAATTCTTGTGAATCGCGGTTGAGTTCACTAAGATTGGACAAACAGTGTGCCAAAAGCACACTCAAAAATGTGATATCGAATAGTAACTAACCATAAAGAGAGCTTTCGGACAATGTGCTTGGGCTTTTTTGTAAAAATATACATGATTGTGCGGGGTCTCCTTCCCATCTTAACCAAAAATATGCTCAGGGCCGAGTCAGCCTGGATATTTAAGAGGTCCAAAAACTGGTAGTCCGAAACATGTCAAAGGCCCTTTCAGTAAACCGTTTCTGATAAACGTTAGTCAAGTGCACATAGATAAGCCTTTTACCACGGTAGTCACTTACTTCCTCTTCTCGCCATTTTGGTGCCTCCCATGAAATAAGCCATTTTCAAATTACCTCGCATCGGTTCCTATCTGATTTATCCATGCCTATAGAACTTCTTTGAGAGTGAAGGTCTCGAACTGAATGAACCGGAGAAAGCACCAGAAGATCCCTACCTGACAAAAAGAGCAATCAGGGAGGCTATTGCCCTCAACACGACTCCGAGTTCCTTCGACAAAAGGCGCCAGCATCTAGAACTGGACCGTCAAGTCCTGCGATTTTATGCCGTCTGGGATGACCGTGATGAGATGTTCGGAGAATTGCGAAAGTTTGTTATACATGTAAGTTGCCGGAGGTACAATCCCTAGGGTAAACAAGCGCCCGAAAGCAGCAGACAGGTAATTTGTTTTGGATTTGGCCAGCGAACTCAACCCCGAGGTTAATATGACCACCTAGACCCAGGACCTATGCTTCGCACTCGTACTCTCGTCAAGTAACGGCGTAATGTCACAGATGCGTGAGACATAACACTGTTTATGTATGCATAGCGCGGCGGTTCAAGTTCGTCCTTCAATTCTTAACAGTCAGCGACTTCCAGCACACTCAGTAAGTTATGGAGACCCAAGGCAGAGGTCACCAAATTCATGATGGGTTGACCGATATGTTTAAATGTAGTTCCAGTTGAAGCGTCCATTGACATGCAAAATAACCGGCTCCTGAATGCCCATCTTTTCGGCCATCTGAAATATCCCATTAGTTGAAAAATGCTTACTTACGTCTCCTTCATTCTTTCAGCTGACCTTCGGTTTCTTTATAAAGCACACCTTCTTGCATTGATTTTGTCAGAAAGCACCCCTTTCCCAAAGTTTTTACTTGAATAAAGAGGTAGGCTTCTGCTTTAGAAAGTTTGTCACAAGAAGATATTTTGAGACCGTGAAACAATTTTTCATGTAGCATGGTTTATACACGTACAGTAGGTTACCTAACTTAGGAGAGATGTCGAAATTGACGAATTATTGCTAATCACTCGCAACCGGACTTGAATGAATGCACCCAATGTCTATGTTAACTAAACACAACCTTTAAAGAATTAAATGCATAAAAGAAATACTAAAGGCAGTGTTGGGTTACCTCGAAGTGCCACTTTTTTTAGAAACCTGCAAAATCCCAAAAACGTAAAAAATAGTTTTAATTCAGTAAACTTCGTTTTCTGATGTACAGAATGTCTTTTCATGCAAAAACTGAGTAAATATGAAAGCACAAAGTGAATAACGTACAAAAATAGTGTCTTGGTGAAGTTTACGTCTAAAAATCCTTTAAAATTAGTGTAATTTAAGGTATGACAATTCGCCAACAGTCTACAGCCTGAATGTATTCCAAAACCGTTTCGGAGGATTCGTGGTATTCTTGACTCGTCTGAGCTGACTGAGATGAGGTTCAACAAGACAAACTGGATTTTGCTGAATTTCACCGATGGGGACGTCGCAGAAACAAAGGTTTTCATAAAGTCAAATGCTGCCAGGCCGATTGGTGACTAGTAAATTTAAATAGTCTATGTGTATAAGGTATAAGTATATAAGATATATAAGAGCCAGTTGTTAAGTATGTAACGTGATCCCTGCCTATTATAAGCATTTGATCGCGAGTCGAGATCTTCCCTTAATTAGAAAGCGTATAGCATGCAATTTAGAAACTTCATGCATAATGAACGGTTCAACATCAAAAGTGAGCTGCTATATTGGCTTTCTGGAGGAGGAACAAGGAAATTATAAGTCATTAACTTTCCAAAATTGCACTAAGGAATCATATTGTTCACTAAATCGATAGTTCGTATGAGCTCTTGTGGGACAGATTATGGACGAACATGAAACCCGGTGCCCGGTGGAGGTGTCCCGGGGTGGTGTTGATAGTAATAACGCTGTGATGATCAGGACAAAGACCGTTGCGAACGCAATTTTTCACGCACTCTTCGGAGAAATTGCTGATCGTGTTTCTATATTCCAGAGAAGGAATTGTAGAAGCGTCTTCACAGCGTGAATTACCAGTAGCCTTTTAATGGACTAGGTTTTTAATGATATTTCATTTGGCAGCACTACACAGAGCTTGTGAGGAAAATGCTTCTAGTTGAACATTACCATTTTTTGTAGCTGGGATTACTATATAAAACGGTTTATTCGAAAAAAGCTGTTACACAACGAATTCGGTGGAAACGCAGCTGCAAAATTGTGACCCTATAGTGAGGTTACAAGTTGTTAATGACTAGTCTCATTAATGCTGTTTACATAAAGGTCCTATTAACTTAGCTCAATTCAATACTGGTGAAAATTTCCAATAGCTTGGTACATCTCAATAACCTATTTCTCCGAAAAACCGTTTAATTCGCGATAATAAAATCAACTAACTTATTCTCATTTTGTGAAAGTATTATCTGATGGACGACACTATGGAAGTCAGAGAAAAACATGAACGCAATGATGGCCGAGACCCATTCTCGGTACTCATCAGGAGAGAGAGGATTCCCAAAGATCGGGATGCAGTGCCGCCAACCTTTCCCAGTGTCTGTCTCGAGCTTACGGGTAGGACTTTCGTGTTTTGTTTTACACAGACGTTCCTAATCAGATCGATATTTGTTTTGCTGACCGTTAATATCACGTCTGTGAATTTGGGAGTACGCTTGCATAATACAGTGGGTAACCGATCTTATGAAATGTTAGCAGGAATATGACATGTAGCCTCAATTAG